AAAAAAAAAAACAAAAAAAAAAAAAAAACAGTCGACACGAAATCAGCAGCAGCAACCACTCCAGATATCTGCAGCACGGAACACATTCATTCAAGCTTCGTCAACACCATCTTTTCAACTTATGCTGATATATAACGTGTCAAAAAAGAAAGAAAAAATAACGGAAAAGCAAAAAAAATAATATTTCACATGGCTTGTCTCCACACAAACCGCGAAAACAACGCACTTTTTGAAACATTTGCGTCACACCATCGTCACACCAGCAGCATCTCCCTTTTTGCGTCATTTTTCAATGTGATGCCCTTCAAATCTCACAAGGAAAACTGTACTCGTTGCACGCTTTCTTTTTTTTCCTTTATATTTCAGCCTAGAAAATCGATTAATTTTTTCCTTTTTTTTCAGGAATGCGTTGGATAAATTGAACAGTAAAGATATATACCTTCATTTTCATTCCGCATTGTGTAAAAAAAACAAAAACAGAATCAATTCAGAACGAGGAGAAATTATCTCTCTCTCTCATCATCATCATCATCATCAAAGCTGAACGATGAAGAACACTATTCAGGGATTTCCTTCGGGAGCATGATTTCTTTTCTTTTTTATCAACGACGAGAACACCTCCATTTTGTCTGACGAAGGTCGCGTATTGTCGGCATGATGAAAAGAACGGTAAGAAACTACACTCATCATGTAAATAATGCGAAAATGTCTCAAGTGTAATCGTGGTCCCCTCGTTCGCATTGTCTGGACAACATGTCCAGCAGTTTCCTCAACTTGGTAAACCGTTCCCCGCGTTCCGCAGTAGCGCCATCTACCCCAAACAAATACTGGAGATGAAATTCCGTTCTCAACACGTCATTCGCCATGGGATCATCTCCAATAAGTCCGCCGTTGATCAACAGTCGGGATGCACAGGCGTTAAACAGCGACGCGGATTGGCACAACCGCATTCCTTCTTCAACTTGGGCCACGAGCAAAGCCAGGCTCTTTTCTCGGGCACAAGAACCCGAATAGAAGGAGGAAGAGGAGTCAGAGTCTGACACGTCCTGTTCGCTGCAGGTCTCCAAAAGGTAGCACAACGGAAGCACGTAAGGCACGGAAGTGTTGGGCGTTGATGGCGGGGCACGGGAGTCGTTCATGGACTTGAAAATGGCTCGTAATCGGGCCTCGAACTTGTGGGCACTGTCCGTGTGGGTCTGCCGGACTTTGTACCATGTCGACGACAACCTTTGAACCTATTATATTGA